TTCAATAAAGAATTACAGTTATTCAAAATCTGTACTTTCTTTTTGAAACGCCCCACATGATTTTCGTCATTTTTTTAATCTAATTCATAAAATAAAATAAAATTTGAGGAATAAAGTAAAATAATATTGGGAAAACTTTTTAATTTATATTTTCTACTCGTACAATAAATAGAGTGAATTTTTTTTACAAATTTTACGAGGACACCGAAATTCAAACACTATATTTAAAATTTATATTATCATTATTGTAAATAGACATATTCTCGCTGCAGCAGTACGGCACTACGGTTCACGACGCTACTATATAGTTATATGTTTGTTATTCAGCACTTTCTCGCATATGAACTAGGTACCTTGTATTTTTATATATTATTCATGTGGAGGTTTATATATAACGTGCGTGGTGAAATAGTATATTAATCATAACAATATACACGTCAAAACGATTTCGTCGTCTACAATAGCCGCCCAGAGTATAATAGATTATAATTTTTCACTGAGCAAAACCAATTACGTATATTTTATACTCCTATGTATATCGTTAAAAGAAGGTATGTTCTAACCGATAGAGTGAAGAGGCATAATTATATCTCGTCTCTTATATTATTCTATTCTTATTGTTCTTACTGTATATACGTATTTATAACATAATATACGCTTAAACAGGTCTTATTTTGACTTGCGTTTACCTTTAGACATATTTCGCATAGCTATACATGATAAATACAGTGGGTAGATCCGTACATAAAATCTAAGCCATGCATACATCTGAATAATTCTTGAAAAAAGTTCTATCCTTAAATTGTAATGAAAGCATACGATATTATATTATTATAAATAATAAATGATATTTTCATACGAAAAATATTTAGTCTTTGATTAGCGGGTATAAAGAAAATTGGATAAGTGCCACTTGAACCGCGACTCGTACCTATCTCAAATCTCTTGCTGTGATGAGAAATCCGTATAGTGGATACTATGTATTATTATATTATATTAATATATAGTAGCTATTCTCCTGAGTTAATTAATAATTATTTTCAAAAGAAAGTAATTTCTACACTTATTGCAGTTTATTTTAGTAGATAATAATGTTTTTGACTGGCTATTCCAATTGTCTTCTTTATGGAATATCTAAAATAAAATCCTTGCATCAAATAAATTCAACAAAGTATTTAGTTTTTATTTATTTATTTATTTATATAAATACATGCCGAACAAGTTGTTATTTGATTAAAAATACTTTAAGACTTTTATTTTTCAATAATTAAAACGTAATGTAACATGAGTTGTTTATCGTAAAATTGAAAAATAATGGCGATTTCAAAACAGGTTTGACTACTGAAATTGATTCAAATATTTTAATTAAAAACAACACATAGATAGAGATTTATAATGTGTTTGAAACAAACGTTTGGTATATACATGTAATGTCTGTTTTGCAATTGATAATCATTATTATTATTATTATTATTATTAACCACTTTGTTTTTTAATTTAAAAACTGCTTCTAATAAATCAATTGGAACAAGTATGATTAATTAATATCCCAATAGGTTAATTTTGTTTTCACACGTATTAAAACCTATAACATATTATAGTGAAATCCTTTTATACGGATATGTATTATGTATACAAAGGAATAAACAATAATATTATTAGTGTCTGCGATAATCGTTATACAAACCCATTATATACAATGATTAAAAAAACCAATTTATTGTTTAGTAAAAAAATAATATATTATTATATACACAAGTTCAATCTATTATCGTATCTTGCAATTTTTATCTGACCAATCTAAAAAAATATCGCATATCTTAAAATCTAACGTTTCAGGAATGAAAATATTATGATATCATCCGATCATTGTTACGGGCATGGTGCTCATCGTTGAAAATGTGTATTAAATTACAATTTGTAATTTTACGTACCGGCAGGACGCCATCCTTCATTACCTCATGAGTTATGATATCTGACATTCAAATAAAAGCCGAATCACGAATGGCTAATGATATTCACCTGTATACCTACGACGCATATACCTGTATATACTATATACGGTTGTAAGACACTTTCCGTACATAAATCTCTCTCTAGTTTCTGGAGAAAAATTCTCCTACATATGTCTCCATTGTATTTTACAATTTAATTCATATTTAATAACGTACATAATTTGACAGCAGGCCGGTGTTGGCTTAATAAATTATTTTTTTTATTTGTTCAAAAAAGTATTAGCAAGATTATTTCGAAATATTAGATTTTATAGGAGATTAATGAGACAAATTCATTAAGTGGTAAGGTGTAATTAAAAATATGTAAAAGTATATTAACATTAAACTTATCAAACATAGTTAATACTTAATACAGTAAAATATAAGCTATAAGTATTATAGATTAAAATTAATACCATTAAAAAATAATAATATTAATAATAAAATAGTTTAATTCATAATAATATTAACTATTATAGGTAATGTTGTTCTGATAAGAACCATATTCAATCTTATTCTTCTGTAATTTATAGACAGATATAGATTTATACTCTTAATCGCTTAGGTTTTTTTAATACTTACAACTTGTCTCAATTAGTATATTGTATTAATTTTTATTCCGCTAACTTTTTTATTTATTATTTTTTTTTTTTTTTTTTTTTAATAATATTATTTCATAATTATCATACCAGGTGCAGTACTTATATATTATATATATAATATAATATTGAGGGTATATAATTTAAGAAAAATAATTGGTGTAGTCATATTGAGAAATTAGGTTCATCACTCGTCTTAATCCGAATTATGCTAACATATAGCAGTCGGTGGATGCCGACGTACGCTGCAGGCCACAGTACCATAGGGATAAGCTATAATATATAATATACGCACTAAACACGAGATAAATTTGGGTTTTTATACAAAAAATATCGACACGCGATAAATAAGAGGCGATCTTGAAAGCTATTTAGGTGTAAATTATGTAATAATAACATCTTTCACGCGTTGTATGCATTCTTCTGTCGGAAATTTGTAGACATCTAAACATTATATGGTATTATAATTTATAATATACTCGATTAAATTCCCATAAAGCCATTTTAGACTTGACTAACTTGTTCCAGGGAATATATACATATATAGGTAAGTACTAATTATGTGCTTCTAGAATAAAAATTAACTGTAATCAAAAATTTTTAATTTTTTTGTTATTAAGAGCTAAACAACATGGGCCATTTACATTAGCTTTATATGATTTAAATAAATAAATTATAATAAATTTTTACGAAAATGTATTTCATTATTATTGTATCTGTATGTAAATAAATACATATATTTTGTCTCATGCATTGTCTTCTTAAATCCATGCGACAATGAGTTAATTATTAATATGTTAATGTTATTTTTTAATTGTTTAACTGAACACTGTGCACATTACACATATTATGAACCAATGTTCATTTAATTAAATGAAAGCTATAGTTTTTAAAATGATAAAAAACAATCACTGGTAACGTAGGTACTCAACCGTAATGTATGGAATGCGTGTTGTAATTAAATACTCCACAGGCAATCTGTCATCGCGCACATACTTAGAGGTTGTCGTGTTGACGAAAATGGATAGAAACATCACTTCTGTAATAAACATACGACATACATATTGTATTATTACTATAATAATAGTAGTTTATAATATGTACTAAGACGATGCCACGGTGTAACGAACTCAGCCAATATATACGCAGATCGTTGGATGCGGGGTGTACAATTAACGTCAAATAAACGGTTATTTCATCAACACTCGATATTAATACAATATTATACAACTCATTTTAGTCGTTTAACCCTAACCATGTATACCTACTTGTATTATTATATCGTTCATTGTTTAGTCGCATCTGGTCTAATAATTAAATCGTTTTAATTAATATCGAACATATTAGGTTCTTAATATACCCCATTGATTGTCGAGGAATTATTCTCCAGCTCTCCGTGCACTTTCTTAAATAAATACGTGTAAAATAATATGTTCTTCGTAGCTCGTTAAGTATATTTTAATAATTTTATTGTTTAAGCTTCAAATATTATTTATAGATGAAAAAAAAATTTAAAAATAAGATATTTTACAATTACAATAAGTAAAATAGCAAATATTAAAGATATTAGTTGATTTAAAGCAAACAATTATAACGAGTTGTGTTAGATACAAAATATAAAAATAAATGTAAGCTTTTATATATTAAAAGTATCCAAATACATATAATATATTATGTTAAATAAAATAAATTCTCAGTATGCCAAATTGCTAAATACTACTATTTTCCCTGAAATTTTGTTACGATGATTTTGTTAAGTGAATAAGAATATTTTATCATATTTGGGCACCACTGATTTGGACACGACCGGTCGTCATGTATCGTTACAACAAAAACAACAACAATAATAATAATATGAGTATATATAAACGCATATACACGAGAACGAGACAGTCGGTAGAGCGGGTGGTGAGGTGTTGAATATTATGAGGTGTTGGGTGCCTGTCAAACGTACAACACACTTAATGTCTTCACACCGACGGCGGCGGCCGAGACTAATTGTAAAAGATGTCTTCATCGTCGTCGTAGCACCGCGGAAAACGTACGTACACACACAGACGTCAGAATAAAGTGGCTTTACACGTTATGTTGTTATTATATTATTATTATTATTATTATTATTATTATTATTATTATTATTATGTACGTACCTCTTCTACAGTACACCTGTGCGCGCGAGCGTTGTATATTATACTCATGATGAACGTATAGGTATATAATATTATATATGTTGTACAATATACAGAGCGTTCTCGCGTTTTTTTACTTTCCGTCGGAAACGATATAATTATTATTAAATTATTATCGCATTGAGGCGTACCAGTAGTATATACCAGTATTGTGTACAGCGGTAACGAAATGAAAAAAAAAACGTTTTTATGCATCCATAAAAAAAAATAATAATATTTCAACTTTTTTATTATTATGATTATTATTTCGTTTTATAATACAATCGTATACGTAACATAATAAAAACCTTAACGTAAAAATGCGTTTATACAAGTCATTCCGAAATAAGGGATCGATGCACGTATAACGTGTACATAAACATATATAGGTATACATGACAGCAAGAAACGGTAGCGATCAAAAACAGTAAGTTTTATTTTTTTTTTCTGTTCGTCTTTTTTCTATTGCAACTCGTATACTATGGCAAAGTGATGTACGAGGGGGTCTGTCTACGACAAGTGGACAAAAACAATAAAAAATATTTATTCACAATAATAATATATATTATTATATTATAATACGTTTTTTCCGACTTTAACACAAAACTATACATTAAAATAAACACTTATTGCACTCGCATGTTTAAATTTACAGATATGCCAACATTCCATCGTGTGCCGCTTAACAGATAAATTATATGAGTATACATTTCGTTCGCAGTGTTAATTATAATCGCTATTACGATATAAACTAAATTATTTACAAATTGATAATAATAATATATAAACGACAATTTATACAATGTGTTAACTTAAAATTTAAAAACATATATATAAATTATAAATATATACTATTGACTAGATTCTTGTTACTTACTAATGGGATGTTCATACGGACAGGGGTTATTATATAACTGTACAAAGAACAATAAATAAATATGACGTATTATATGATATTAATCCACCCGAGTTCCAACGTGTTTCGCGCATTGATACGGATGGAGTTCCCAAGCATTGACATTAAATCACACGGATGTAATATTATCACAAATAATAATAATAATAATAATGCGATTTATAAAAATCGTCAATTGTCATTTATAATCTCTGTTGTGTTTATTTATTTATGATAGGATGCTTCTACCTAATATAAATATGTATGTATATTATATAATGCACATAAACGATTCAAATTTGATTGAACAATTTTAAAAATAATCAGAACAAACTTGAATTGAGTATTGTAACGCTTATTGCTTATTATATTACTATGTTTTTTTACATAAAATATAATAGTATACATCTATTGTTCACCTGTAACTGCAAGTGCCTATATTTTAATTATTATACGATATACACATATACCTATCTACATTACTGCAGTTTTCAAGAATAGAAATTAATTAAAGAAAAAGAAACGTGAAACAAAGTTTTTTACAGATGTATATCGTGGTAATATATTTTATATTTGTAGGTCATCCATCGATTTACAATATGATTATATACCTAAAATATGTATAATATTATATTATTACGTCATATAGGAACCCTGCGATGTTGACGATGACAACGAACAACGACGACGACGTTATACAAATCAAAGGTGGGAATGTGTGTGATTAAAAACGCGAAGGGAGGGAGGTAGAGAATGAGTTCATACTTTGTTATTGTTGTTGTTACTTATGTTATTGTTGTTTATGTTGTTGACATGGGCAGCGGTGATGCTGAATGGTCGATTGCCACCAGCCAACAGGGATTCGATGCTGAACGGGTTGAGACGGCGAGCCTTGTCCGCGGTGGCCGCCGACGACGTGGTCAGGTTCAACAGCGGAGGTGGCGGTGATGATTCGCCATCGCCGGCCTGGGGTCGTCTATACAAGCGTCCGCCGCCGTACTCGTCGTCCGAACTACAGCTATCGTCGCCCCGACAAGCGGCCGCAGCGGCTGCTACTGCTGCCGCCGCAGCCGCAGCCGCGCGCGCGTACGGCGGAAGTCCCTCGTCTTCGTCTTCGTCCAAATCGTCGTCGTCGTCGTCGTCGTCGTCATCGAACGTCGTGCTCGCACTCCGCCTGCGGTGCAACATCCTGTGGTGATGGTTTTGATGTTGGTGGTGGTGATGCAAGAGATGGTCTTCTTCGCCAACCACGTCAATCTCCTCGTCTCGGCTCGTCTGTCCACTGCAACAGCTAGACGAGTCGTGGAAAGACAGATCCATACCGGCGTTCGACGATCCACCAACTCCGTCAATTCCTCCTCCCATTCCTCCACCGACGACTCCACAATCGATTTGACCGTGTTTTTTGGCCGCATCTATAAAAACAAACAAGTTTCAACGTTCAAATAAAATTCAAATTCATATCGATTCTCACATCATCACTATATTATTATACACCATCGTCCAAAAATAAAGTTGAAAGTGTTCATTTTCTATGATCATTATATATTATAATATAATAATTTATAATAGTTCAATATGAATAAAATATATAATATTTTGTACGTAAAGATTTAAGTATACTTACAAAAACTTTTATAAAAAAGAAAAATCGTTATAATTTAATTTATGCTTACATTTTTTATCAATGACTTTTATGAAAACAAATTATGATTAAAAAAAAAAATACGTAATTTAATGAAAATGAATGGTTTCTTTTATATGTAAAACTGTGATATTAATCTAATATTAAAATATGTACAATCCTACTTCATCACAATAAATTGAATTTATTTTTATTATTTTACGATCGTCGATAAGGATCAATATAAATTATAAGTATTATATTACTATTATTTTATCCGTGTATTTTTCACAAAAATCAAATACCAAATATAATAACATACACCGTCAGAAGTTTAACTTATTACATAATAATAACATACTCGAGCTCGATATCATTTGATTTAATGTTATTTTATATATTATTATATTAGCTATAGACTCGGACAATTATATTGGACTGGCTACTGGTTATAGCACGCAATTTTAAAGAATCTTTAACAAGGTCATTTTGATTGGTTTTTCGTTTAGAATGAGTAATGTACCACATATATTATTACCATGAGAAAATTTCCAATAACCGTATCAAAATACATACATATTGTATACCTACCATGTGATATAGTCGTAAACAGTATAATATTGTAAACTGGAATTTAAGATGTGTATTCGACATTGAAACAGTAATTTTTTTTTATCTGAACAATTCAAAGACTATTAAAATAATTATACACTAATAGAACTAAACGTCGTATATTGTAACGGTGTAGATATATCAGTTTGTATAATATTATAAAAGATAACTCTTTTTATATTGACATATAGAGTACCTATAATATAGACGATACGTTTCTAAAATTATATTATTATATTATATACTGGACTATATTATCAGTAATTATTTTCTAATTGCATATCGAACATAACGTTAATTACAATAAAAATATAAAATGTAATAAATCATTTTATTATATAGCTATTGAAAAATTCTAAATATGAAATTTGACACAGTGAAATCACACCACGAATAATGATAATATTACCTATTATACCATATATTATTATATTGCTGTCATTATAATATATTATAGAATCACTTACTGTTAGCTTGTTGAGACTCCCATTCCTTGCGCAATGTGTCTAAGTCAACGTGCACTCCTTTGGCAGCTAGCTTCCTCTGTTGTCGTTCCAAGCTCTTGAGCAACTTTTTCTGTCGTCGTTCGCGCTCTTTGCGCCGTAACTCGTCCGCTGGTATTGGTTCTCCGGAACAAGTTACAGGATGCGCATTGTGTGCCGGTCGACCCGGACCCTTTTTAGTGTGTTCCTTTTTTCTCCATTTTGCTCGTCGATTTTGAAACCATACCTGTAAAAATCAATTCATTTTTTATATAAGTAAACTATTACAGTTATATTATAATAATAAAGCATTTAGTGGATTATAATATATTATGTGTAATCAACAATGATATAATTTATTCTTCTGTAAAATTAGTAAACAGATAAGTATTGAATAGACGCCTACCTACATTCGGCGCCAACAATTATAATAATAAATAATAGTATGAATCCCGATGATATTTTATATAATAAATTTATATTGGTTGACACGTGCTCTTATTAATTTATAACATATAGAAGAAAAGCGACCCTGAACAAATGGCCTTTAAATTCCATAATAATTCGATACATACTCCTATATTTAAAAAAAGTATAGCTATATTATATGTATATACGTGCGCACTAAAGTTTATCGTCTATTTCTCGCCTCCGGCATTTGTGGTTCTAAAGCCAGAACGTATTACACCCCAGGGACGTGTTCCAACTGTATGCTTCGAACTGCAACATGATGGCGTAGATTATTTAACCATACACACAACCGTTTGTATATGCACTTTCCACCCTTCACGATAAAAAAAAAAACGGCCAACAAAAATCAACCCCTAGCTGGCTGAAACAAGTATCAAGAATGAGGTTCTAAATCAAAATATTGAACGAAAAAGGGTGGATGCTCTAGGGAACTTATATATGAAACATAAAAAACAAATGTGAATTCCTCGCGTGGGTACAATAACTCTATGCGTATGTACCTATATATAAATATAATATATACTTACAGCTACTCTAGACTCCTTGAGGTCCAACCGCAGGGCTAAAGCCTCCCTCATGAAAACGTCTGGGTAGTGGCTAGCCAAAAACGCCCGTTCCAGTTCTTCCAGCTGCCACGTGTTGAAATTTGTTCTGGACCTCCGCCGTTTGTTAGCTAAGTCTTCCGAACTACCTGCAGCGCTGTCTCCGTCTACTCCACCTAAACGTTATGATATATTTTATTATAGCAAAATGTTAAAATATTTTTAATATATAAAAAACTTAATAATAAAAATAGATTTTATCAGAACGTGTGAAAATAAAATATTTAAACAAGTTTTCGTGGATTAAATTTCACCATTTAAATTTATTTCATATTTCACAATATTATTCATGTAATTAAAGAGAGTATAATATTGCAAATTGTCATGAATATTCATGTTGTTTATTGCATACAATGATATAAGGTATTTAATATTTGTATTATGAGTATTTATGTATAACAAGAATACTTGTTGTTTCACGTAATTTCGTTAAATCTATTTTATAATTAATGATACTCAAATGATATATATTTTGTATTAATGATTGAGTACATTTTCATAAATATTGAATAATTTTTTTGGTAATTGAAAATTATATTATATTATATTTGTATGTATGGTTTACACGTAGGTGCTCACAGCGTGTAATAGATATAAAAACAATAAAGGTACTACTATTCATTACACAGATATTTTAAAAATCCTATAGTTGTAGGCCAAAACTAAATTTTTTCATAAAATATTGACATATTGTACGAAATACATTTTTAAAAATATCGAAAATAAAATAATTTATGTGTATTGTATAACACACAATAAATTTGTACATTTTTATAATATGCTCATGTATATAGTATAAATACAGCATGAACAAGTACCTATAGTTTGTAAGTATTTTAAAATACTTTAATCCCTAAGAGTTTGGATTATTAGAGAATATTTTTTTCACATTCCGGGTGATTTGAACTATTTCGAAAACAGATTTACGCCACATGGGAACGGTTGTATTTTCGATTACCGAAAAGTTGAAAATTGGCTTTTCCGGAGCCGGGGTAAAAAGTTTAATACACCGTAGGGCGTTAAAAATATACTTTCAAACTTCTCGAATTGAAACATAAGTTTACAGCAGGCGTATTGTTTACGAACCGAAAAACTGTAGATAAAAACTAATATAATATATCTATATTTTTCCCTAGCTGATCAATAGTATACCGACAGAAACCAGTGCTGTACATATATACTATATAGTATATATATAGTATATATATATACATTATGCAAGCATGGGGGAAGAAAACCGCATATCGAGTTAAAACAATTTCGCAATCGCGTTATAAATCATGTCTCTGCGACATATGGCAATATTGGCTTGTACAAGAGAGAAACCGTTTCCACGAGGATTTTTATCTCGTAGCATGCGTGCACTTCAGACAGTCGTAAATCATATAAGAATATGGAAAAACATAAAGACGAGGCTAGATAATAGAATCGGAGCATGGAAGCAGTTTTCTGATGGTCTAAGAGGTAGTGGAGAGTAGAAGAAAATTAATTTTCGCCAAAACAGAGAGCTGGTCCAAGAGGGGTTCTCGAAAAAAAATTATTTGTATAATAACTGAACCATAACTGAATGAATTGTTTTCATGTTACCCCAGTTATCATGTTACAGAGACCGACATTATGACGACAACAATATTACGCAACTTTTATGATTTTCACTTTCAGAATAAATCTCATATACTTAAAGTAATTGAAAACTGGTACACTGACATATTTAACTTTAAAAACGTGTGTAAAATTTAAAAATTAAACTTCTACTTGGTACACAATATAAACATTAAAAAAATATATAATTATATCGCATATTTACTAACATTAAGTTGATTTATACATATACAGATTATAGGTATAGTGATATTTTTAAACAATTGCATTAAATAATCTCGTTCAGCTGTATAATAATACATAAACTTCTAATCAGAATCAGTTATATAGGTACTTATAACAAATATTAAATTTTAAATGAAAAAATTGTCAAAATATTTTAGTGCAGTTGTCAAAAATGAAAAATATTTTATCGGGAATATAATATATACAATATACATTACATTGTTCAAAAAATCTATCAAATTTATTTCAACAAAATCTATACTACGTAGACTAGTAGAATATACAGTTGTACAGTAGGATATCAGCGTATTTATACTTTAATAACGAGTATACATCATGTAGGTATACAGTTAACCAATGAAATGTCTTGTTCTAAGTGGAAGCAAATAATGACGAAGATGTGTATGTGTACGAAGTAGCTGTCACACGTAATATTATTTATTTATTATTATTTTTATAGACGGGAGATGAATGTAGGGGACGTGTAACACGATACGCGTTTTGGGTGGACCGTGTCAAACGGATAACAATTCGTTAAAATTGAATTAACGCGTCGGCGGACGACGCGTGGAGATGACGACGGACACATGACTCTCACGATAGGCGCTCCGGTAAACCTTTCTCTATTGCCGCCGAAATGGTATCTTTAAAACGCGTGATGTCGTATAACGTATAACACACATATATTATTATTATCATGTTATAAGATTTTAGTCAACAATGACAATATGACAATGGTAATAGAAATAATGGCGATAATAATAATGATAGAAAAAAACGCAACAAACAAGACCGAAGGCGACCAATAGGAAAAAAAAATAATAAAAACCGTTTCACGATGTGCAAAACACACGTCGGGTGGCGACACTAAAATCTAGGACGTTCGGTTTTTATTATTGTAGGTACATAATATTATATTATTTACTGACGGTGGCGGCACAATAACACGTCTGAGTATATTTAATATATATATATCACTGATTATAACTATCGTCGTATGTATATATAATATATTATATTGGCGGGAAGTCGTCGCGCCGCAAACGGCCTGTAACTATAGGTACCTATAGCAATAATAAGGCGCCATATTTGTCAGACGCGCGCAATCGACTCGACGTGTGGAGAATTTTAAATTTGGTAATTGTATCTATGTATGTTTAGGACTTTTACGGTATAGTATATACATAGATAAGACAGTTATATTAAATGATACACATTTTATATGACACTTCTTATATTATTATAAAATAAAATATTTACCATTACTCTGTATACTCATGTTATTTGTCTCTTATCATTTATACTCATTATGTCATCTGATATAGATTGAGTATTTCGACTTAAAATAGAAAAAAAAAAAACTTTACTAAACTTTGTTATAATATTTTATTAATGTTTGAATACTTGTGTAGGTTTATCGTGTATGTTTAAATACAAATTCACGATTTTTTAAATTATTAAACGCAGCTATTTATACTGTTACATAAAATGTGGTTTTTATTGTGGTAAAACCATAATTGTGCATTAAACGGTTCATCTATAATAATCATATCATCCTACCGGTACGGTATGTGATATATATTCTGGAAGTTCAAGCTCGTGATAAATTTCACATTCTAAACAGCTTTCACGCGTCGATGTTTGGCAAGTTTGCCAACATCATATACACGTATGGGCCACAGAATAAATAAAGTTAGTTCACAGGCTTCCATTACGTGGAGGTTTTTGATTAAACAAAGTTCATTTGATAGATGACGATGGTACGCGCGTATATCATATACATATTATATAATACTGCACGAGTCTAATTAAATGTGAACCTTGACGACATCCCTATATCACTGAAAATTGGCTTTTATGTGCTCAAAATGCCAAATTCACTACAGAATTACCTTAGAAATTAACACGAACGAGCACGATACTATATACGCAGACAATTTAATTTTTCATAAAATATACTTTTTGTGAAAAGTATTCAAAAAAACTACACTTAAAGATCTTAATATGTATCAAAACTTGTAGGTAAAATAACTTAATGTAATTAAAATATAGGTAAGTATATCATTTTAAGTATCTACAATCTTACATATTACAATATTACATGTTTGATAATTTTACTCGCCATGTATACACGGAGTGTGTGAAATATTTAATTATGTTATTTTTATTACACTGTTATATAATGTAGAGCTAACTACTATAATGTAGAACCTAACCTAACCTATGAAACAGGTTTTTGTAAGTTCCCAAAATAACTGTCCTAAAATCGATAAACCAGTGGCATTATTATTATTTAATGAATATCTTTTATTTTATTGTCACTAAAAAGCATTTCATACTTTATTCTGCAAACAAATCTACTTCTATCTAATTTATAATTAGAAATTAGAGTATTCATACAAGAATAAGGTACATTTAAATATAATAAAAATACGAATTCCCGAATATATTAATTTAAAGTAAATACTCTGACACTAAGTAATATCATTGCTACATACATGACATCTACGTAAATTATTATTAGATATTATATATAATGTATAACAACTATTACTGTAGCCTACAATGTTACAAGCACTCAACCGTGCAAAGTGTTTTTGTGTAAAAACAAACTTTCTGAGCGCGTTAATATTATGTGATGACTTCTTTAATAATAATAAAACAGTATAGTTAATGTTGTGAGTTAGTATGTTTAAGTGTGGGTATATAGTATATACTTTAGTTGAATGCCATCACAGACATTTTTTTTATTTACAATATACTAATAAAGAACTAAATTGATCAATGTTTATCTTAAAATGTAAAACGATATGAGTATAAATATTTTTTAAATCAATTTTTAACATTAAAACATTTAATTTATTAATTGTAATGCGTTTTTTCGTCTTATGTATACAATTAATTATTTTTATATTTTAAGATCTAGCACGCACGTATGTATATTGAAACTTAATATTATTTTAAGTTTGATTCTCATAGAGTACGCACTGTGTACCTATTTATTTTAAATGTAAATTATTTTGTTAACGGAAGTCTTCGCTATTGCCATATGGTTAAATAGGTATGTAGGCATGTACGACATGTAAGTAATCATCCCTTAATGTAGAAATATTTAGTAAAACGTAAAAATATAATTAATTTTGATGCGTTTGTCGCTATACCGATAACAATTTTTAAACTCTCCACCGGAACGTGTATTTACTTTACATAAAAAAAACATGTTCCAGATGCTAAACGACAACGTCTTCGTCATTTCGTACTATAAAAATAATAACAAGAATAATTGAGT